GGGAATGGGCGGGTGGGGGGTGGGGCTGAAGGGGCCCCTGCCTGGGGCTCAAGTTCTGCCCAGCGGATGCACCCAGCCCAGTCCGCTGGCTCTGCGTCCACGTGGGCTCAGGCAGGACAGTCTGACCTTCGCTCCTCTTCTTGCCCCCAAGTGCCCAAGGGCGTGTGTGTCCTCCAGAACGCCGAGTACCAGGTGAGCCCTGACGGGCTGCGGGGAGCGGGCCGGGGTGCACAGGGGGCTTCGGGGCATGGGGCTTGGCAAGCTCTTGGCTGGCCTGGTGAGGGGCCCTGCTCTGGGGGGTCTTGGCACCCGGGGCACCCAGCTCACCTGCTGGTGGCGGGGGGCGGTGCCCTGGAGGAGGGGAGGTGCCTTGGAGGCCCCGCCTCACCGGCCCTCCCCGTGCCTGAAGCCCGGTTCTCCAGTCTTCCCCTCCAAGTGCCAGAACTGCACATGCACCAAACGCAGGGACAACGCCACGCAGCTCAACATCATCTCCTGCACCCACGTGCCTTGCGACACCTCCTGCAGCCGCGTAAGCAGCCCCTGCCCAGACAAGTGCGGCCCACCGCCGCCGTCCCTGCGCGGCCCTTCCTCTTTCGACGCCAGCCCGCCCGTGTGTCCTGCAGGGCTTTGAGCTGGTGGACGCCCCCGGCGAGTGCTGCAAGAAGTGCCAGCAGACCCAGTGCATCATCATCAACCGGCCCGGCAGCCAGAGCCTGGTCCTGAAGGTGCACGCGCCCGTCCTTCACTGCCCGGGGCAAGGCTGAGCCTCCCCCCGGGGCTGCAAGGCTGTACACGTCCTATCTCTTATCAGGACACCTGCCATGGGATTTTGGCCCCCTGTCCCTCCCCCACGCCCCGGGTAATCCAGGATGGTCTCAGCTGGAGATCTTTAACTCAACTCCCTCTGAAAGATGCCCTTTCCAGATCAGGTCACCTTTGCGGGATATGCGGGTTAGGTTGTGGACCCGTCTGTGGACTACAGGCCGGTAGCCCCTGGGCTCCTCCTGGGTGCCGCCGGCCTGTGGGCTGCGCTCGGCGGGGTGCTCGGGGAGCTGCCAGGTGTGTCCAGTCGCCTTTCTGGGTGGGACTCCTGCCAGGCCTCCCACAGACCCTTCTCCGCCCCACAGCCCGGGGACGTGAAGAGAGACCCCCTGAACAACTGTACTTTCTTCAGCTGCCTGGAGATAAATGGCCAGTTCATCTCCTCTGTCTCCAAAATCACCTGCCCCGACTTTGACCCCAGCACCTGTCTCCCGGTGAGCGGGCCCATCACTGCTGGGAGTGGGGGTCCCCGATGCTCCTGAGCGGCCGGACGTCCAGCATCAGGACAGCAGCCTCCAGCCTGGAGGGTCTGCTGTGGGCCCTTATGCAGGGACGGCCGCTTGCACCCCCGTGGCAAGAGGGGGGCTGCCGCTGCTCGGGGAGGCCTGCGAGTCCCAGCTGTTTCTCCTTCCCGCCAGGGCTCCATCACACTCACGCCCAATGGCTGCTGCAGGAAGTGTGAGTGCGGGCAGGTGGCTCCTGGGGCGCGGGGGCCTGGCAGTGGGCTCCACCCGGGCCCCTTGCAGAGAGGAGAGCGTGAGGGGCTGCGCCGCGGGGACCCCGCCCCCCTGTGCGGCTCTCAGCTGGGCGCTGAGTTCGAAGGCATCACCTGGGCTGCCCAGGAAGCCTGAGTCCCTTCCTGAGAAGCAGGACAGAGCTCAGCTTGCTTGGGGGGGCGGGGGGTGCTTGG